CCTAAAGCCTAAGCCCTAAACCCCTTTTGGACCCTAAGGGACCCCCCATCAACTCCCTAAACCCCACTCTTGCGAAGCACCCGCAAAATCTCGTGCAACTGAGGCCGGTGCCAGAAGTGCGCTGAGGCGGGATTCAAGCTGGGAGAATGGACAAGAGCATGATGGAATCTCATAGGACATAAAACTGAAGGTGGGTGTAGGGGCCTGAGTAGCTGGAATAGGGTTTAGGTCTTACTTATCTCATATGAGAAGGAGGAGGGATGATGCTGCGACTTACGGACAGCATGTAGGGGGTAGTATTGGGATTGTATAGGGAGTGTTATGGAGGTTGTACAAGCAGTGTTTTCTTGGGGGATTGAGCGCAGGTCTTATAGGGATTTAGGATGATATAGGGTTATTCATGGGGACTACGTAGGTGTTTTATGGTGGTTGTACTGGGCATGCTGGGTTGCAGTTTGCTAATGTGCTGCAGAGGCGGGAGGTTGTTTTTCGTTCATGCTCTATATGTACGGAAATCCTTGCAGAAGGATTCTTGTGAAATACGATCGGGGTTATTGGGCTTTTTTTTTTTGTGTGTNNTAAACTCCTTAAAGGGGCTCATATAGGGTTTAAGGTTTAGAGTCTAAACTCTTTCAAGGTGGTTATGTGTCCACTGGGGTTCTTCATCTGCAGCTTCTTTCCAGTACCCATCAACGCTCAAATTTGCAGAACCAAAGAAAGCTAACTGCTGGCAGCCTGCAGTTCAGTTAATAGGAGCCTTGGTAGTGACAGCAGCGATGCCCCTAATTTTTGGGAAGCCCCCGTTAACAGCAAGAATGTCAGGATGATCGTTGTGTTGCTAGCATTCGGGTAGAGGTTGTTCTTCTGGCTGTACCACCCTTTGACAATCAACTGACTGTTCAGCGATCTTCAAGCCACCATGACGCTTAGCGCATCTGCCTCATCAGTCTCCGCGGCCAAAATGGCTTTGCGGAAGCAGGCGCGATGTTTCTTGGGGAATTCGCACGAGGGTGTTTCATCAGCAGAGGAGCCCGCGGCATTCATGGGAAGCAGAAGCTCATTCTCTTCCTGCAAAGTAGTTTCCATAAGAAAAGGGACCCGAATATAGACCCCAAAATATTATGATCCTGATCATTGAGACCCCCAAAATGGTACCCTTAATTTTGGCAAGAACCCTAGACTCTAAACGTTGAATACCGTTTGTATAACCCCTAGATAATCCCTACAACCTTCAATAAAGTAGTCCTAATTTGGGGAATTACCCCTGCCAAATTATCAGTATTTTGGAGGGCCTTTAGGTCACCCTAAATTCTAAATCCTAAGCCCTAAAACCAGCAACCGATTTTGCGGCATATGGGCTGAAGGGTTTTAGGGCTTAGGGTTTAGGATTTTTGGGGCTTGGGGCTTGACATTTAGGGTTCAGGGTTTAGCGTTAAGGGTTTAAGGTTTAGGGTCAAGGGGATGGTCGTGACATTGACAGTTGAATTGTGCAAGGAAGGGATACCTCTGCTGAAAGCATTTTAGTTGCCAGACGCTGGCGCTGACAGTGGGAAGCCCTACACTCTGTAAGTTGGGGTACTTGGTATGGTCCTATGGTGCTTTGCGCCGCCAGTAGGGTTAGCCCTTCTCAGGACCGAACCGGACTGCCTGCATGCTTTGGATTGTAAGCTGCAAGCCCACAACCCTCAAACCTTATAGTCCCCCTTAAGTAGATAGAATATGGGGTATATGGGGATCTCATTAAAATACACCCAAAGCCATATTCTATCTACTTAAGGGGGCCTAGACCCTAAACCCTAGATAGTAGATTCCATTTTCTTTTCCATCATCCCAATATAAACCCCACATTCTATTTACTTAAGGGGGACTATGGACCTGGAACGTCTGAAGTCTTGCACCTTGCATGCCCTAATTTTACAGCCTAGGCCTCAACTCGCGAATTGAATTTAAAACGCCAGAAAACCCAACCACCCTAAACACTCCAAACACTCCAAGCCCAAAAGGGTACCCTTATTTTGGGTGGACCCCCAAATCCATTTGCAAACCCTAAGCCCTAAACCCTAAACTAGACCCCAGACCCTAAGTCCAAACTTCCTTGCCATAGCATCCTTCAAGGTCCGCGCCAGCCTAAAAGTCCTGGATGACGCGGAGCTAAACCGCCAAAGCGAGGCGGCTCTGAGATTTTCAGGGTTTAGGGTGTTTAGGGTTTAGGGTTCTGGCCGTATAACCCCTTTAAAGGGCCTATACCGCGGTGATAGCCCCTATAAACGGACCCTATGTAGTCCTTATATCTTTGTAAGAGACACTATGTAGGCTTTATGGAAGCTTTCCCTCATTGGCTGGGCAAGGTTAACCAGAATCGATGAATCGAGCAACAACCCTGATTAAGTGCTTAACAACCTCACTTTTGGTTGGGGACGCTCAAAGTCAGTGATTGATCGGAAGGGGAAGGCGTAGATAGCCTGCTGTTCTTGGGCGTCTCAGGTAGAAGATTACACCCTGTGAGGTGAGTCTGGCCATAGATTTGTTTCCAACTTCTGAAGATTGTGCCCCACTGAACAGGCACGAAAGGCACAACAATGGCCCGACAAGGCTTCATGGAAAAGCATGTTTCAAAGCAGGGAGCATCCTCTACCTCACTTTAGAGAGTCCCCGCCAGCGAGGAATAGTCAGCTTGAGGTAAAGGAGGTTTGGGTTTAAGGGTGTAGAGTTCAGGTTCTTGGTTGGTCGAGGGTGCAGGGCCTATGGTGTGCGATATTAGCTGCCAACGGCCCTCAGATCCTCACTCTCAACACGCAGTCCGCATCCATGTTTAGGCTACCGTTTCGTGTACCTGAGAGGTCATGAGAATATTCCGTGCTGTACATCAAGTTGATACAAGAAAAGGTCCACTTCATTGATTGAGAGCAACCCATATGCCTTATACTACTCGGACGACACCTTCAAGGATGGTTCATGGCCAGCTGTCCCCTCGGACCCAAAACCCAACACCCTAAACCTGGAACACCAAACCCGAAGCCATGAACACCAAACCTTACATCCCAAGCTTAAAAAAAGAAGGAATTCCCCTTCAGCTGCCAGGCGGTCTGCGAACGGCTTGTGCGCAGTAGCTTTTGGGCGGCGAGCCGCCCCACTTCATTGCTTAGGGTTTAGGGATAAGAGTTTAGGGATTGAGGGTTTTCGGGTTGAGGGTTTACTTAGAGTTCCACGGGTAGATGCATGCAAGTTTGACCAGTGACAGGCTCCCCAGAGTACCGTAATCTGGGTTATGATAAGTATATAACCAGAAACATAATGTTTATAACTATTTATGGACCTCCAAGTAGGGTCTCAGAGCAGCTCTAAATTTTCTGCGTTTTGGACTGTAGAAGCTGCCTTCGGCTGGCTTAGTGTATGCCCCAAGCTCCGAATCGAAGGCATCCGTGGGGCCTTGCAAAACCTATGAATTCTTTTTTCTTTGACGGGGTTATTACCGTTTTAATGCTTTTAAACCTTAAGCTTTAGATTCAAAATCTAAATGCTGAACTCTGAATCCTACAAACCCTAAACCCTAAACCCCATATACCCCTATATAGCCCCTATAACCACTCTGAATCCTAAACCCTAAACCCTGCTTCTGTGTTTTTGCATCTTGATGGAGCAAGGCCAGACCATCGGGGTGTTTCTCGCAATGCCCGCGGGGGAGCTTCGAACAGGTCCCTGGACTCCAGGGGCTTAGGGTTTAGGGTTTAGGGTCTATGGCTTAGGATTTGGGGCTTTCGGTTCCAGGGTTTAGGGTTTGGGGTTTAGGTAACAGGTCCCTGGGCTCCAGGAAGAGTTTTGGGCTGGACTCCAGGCTTAGCAGGGTCACGGGTCTAGTTTAGGGTTTAGGGTTTAGCGTTCAGGGTTTAGGGTTTGGGGTTTAGGGTTTAGGGTCTAGGCTTTAGGGTCTTGGGTGTAGGTTCCCCACTTTTCAAATGACGATAGTCATTCTGGGGTTCCATGTAATTTTTGGGAGCTGTGGGGAGGCATGTAGTTCTCCCTAAGCCCTAAGCCCTCAACTGTGTGAATGAGAGCAGGCCCCAGGCCTGAAGAGGAAGAATTTGCGGGCTTAGGGTTTAGGGTTTATGGATTATGCCTCCCTTTAGTTTGTTGTTGGAGTTCTCTGTTCTAAGAGCATTCCGTGCTTGAGCCAAAGTATCGGGGGGTCAATGAATTCCCATTTCTGCCCCTTATTCTGTCCAAGGTCCAATCCTGCAGCATGCGTACGCCGGTGGTAAGCGGGTTTTCTGCCCTCGAGACTCTGTTGCATTGAAAGAAAAATTGCAGGTTTCCCAAAATTAGGGGCACTTTTATGGGGGTCCCTATAATAAGGTTTATAGTCTAGCAGGAGAGTTCCTGGCTCATTTCGCGAGTAGGGTCGACCTGCATGAGATCAGCTGGGTGCTGCTACAGATTTGCACAAGGCTACCCACCCTCACTTCAACCTAAACCCTCAGCGGACAGCATCAAATCCAAGATTCTGCCGTTTGAATGTTTGAGCTATCTTGAACCCTAAACTCCAAAACCCCAAAGCCAAAGACTGTGGATGCTACACCCAGAATCCTGCTGCCGTAGCAGTGTATCCGAGCTGCGAGCATTCAAGGAGTGATGGGTGATGGCTGGATGGAGTTTCTTGGAGACTGTCAGGGGGCTCACAAGGTGCATGAAGGTAGGAAGGGCTCGTTGCCCTTGGGCCTTGAAAAATTGAAGCATAAAGCCGCCTGAGCACCTCAGAAGAAGCATCCTTAACAGTCAGATTGCCCAAGACCAAGCCCATACTTAGACTCTAGACCCTAAACACCTAAACCTGCCAAAAGCCGGCTCATGTTTGTTTTGCAAGATGACGCGTTCGGGCGACTCGTTGAGCAAAGTACCCGAGTACCTGAGGTTGTGAGCGTTGGGGGTTCAGGGTTGACGGTTTGCGCTTTTCCTGCTATAGAAGCCATAAAAGCTACCAGTAATATTCCGATCCTTACAAAACTATCCTACCTCAAAATAAGTGTATACCTTTCTAGGATTATGTGTTTCCTTTCCCAAAATAGGGGGACCCTGATATAGACCCCAAATACTACAATCTTTATTCTGGGGACACCCGAATTTGGGGAAACCCCCCTTGTAGACCATGAAATTGTACACGTCGTGGCTGCGGCCTGCCCCAGGTTCTTTGAGGTGAAGAGTGACTTGGATGCCAAGAAGTGTGTGTTGTTGGTCTTATACAGTCTTTACAAAGCCTTGCACATTCCCTTGTAAATCATGTGCCATTGGGGTTCTTCATCTTTGGAAACTGCTACCGGGATATCTGGTAATCTGAAATGGAGCGGGCTGGCGTGGGACCGCTGCCCCACTTCAGGGCATAGGGTTCGGGGCTAAAGCTCCGGCAGATCCTGGAAAGCCCTAAAATTTTAAATCTAAGCCCTAAACCCAAGCCTTATGTGCGCATGCATATATATATATATATTATATATATATTATATACATATACATATACATCTACACATAAATCCTGAACCCTTAGTCCCTGAGCCCTGGACCAAGGTATGGAGGAGGCTAAGGCGTTGCCACTGTCCAAGTGGAAGATCCCCGAGCCACCAGAGACTTTCCCCCGCGCCTGGGCCCGCGACGTTTAGCGTTTGGGGTAGGGCAGGTTTAGGGTTTTGGGTTGTAAAAGATTTGGTCACTTTGTGGGTCTCCATCCGAACAGGGCGCCGAATATGCAGGGTAACCCGATAAGGGTCATGATTTTTGACGAGCACGGGGCTAAGGGTTCAGGGAATAGGGTTTAAGGTATAGAATGTAAGTGTAGGGTGTTGTGGCATGGAAGGGGGCTTTGATATGAATGTGAGAGTAGCATCGTAGTTTTGCTTGCGACCCCGGAGCTTTAGATTTCAAACCGGGTTTAGGGCTTACGTTTTTTTTGCCTAATGTCATCCCGCAAACCTAGGTTGCAGTTTGTCACAAACGAGTACTGTTAGTGACCCTGGTGACCATCAGGATTATGCGGGGAGTATGAATGGAGGTGCCTATGAGTGATGACATAGGAAAGCCTTGTACCCCTCCCAGCCACCGGCCTACTGGGTTGCTGTTAAGGACTTCAATTTAAGTTATTCTAGTTGGGAAACCATGATAATTACTATATATACCCATTATGATAACTTACTTGAAATTCCTTAACAGAAACCCTGCCTAGGAGCGGAGCCTATTGACCTGGATTTGTTGCTGGTCCCGGCCGTTGCTTTGGACCTGAGTCGTCGGCGCTGCGGCCAGGGCATGGGCTTCTACGACCGTGGCCAGGCTCAAAGAGGGAACATATCTCAAAGGGGTGGCCAAGGGGGAGATCGAGGAAATAGGGATAGTGAGAGGTTGGGGATTTAGGGCTTCTAAAATTTTTGGGTTCTTCTTGTAGGGTCCTGGACAGTGGATCTTCGTTTTTTGAGGGGAATGTACGGGCCCGTTTTTGTGACATGAAATATCACGGTCACGAAGGCTCATCTAGCACGCAGGCGGCTAGCACTTGAAAGTGCGATATCTGGGAGTGTTTCTAGCTGTCGTGCTCTGGTGGGCCTATATGGCCCCTCAAGTACTTACAGTACTTGACAGACATATTATTACAGGGCTTATACAAGGATCCTATAGGGATTATATATGGATTATAAAGCAGTTGTATAGGGATAATGGAAAAGAGCATGGAAACTATTGGGATAAAGGGGGTTAGGGCCATGATATCCTTGGCCTTTGAAGCTGCAACCTTGGCCCAGACCCCTAAACCTTGTCTCAATCCGGATAGCCCGAATTGAAGGACCGGAACATGTGTAATATAGGGGCCTAAATAACTACCAATATTATGGTTCCATATTCCTTATTTAATTATGGTCTATGGTACCTCAAATGGACCTCAAGATGATATTGGTAATCATTTAGGCCCCTGTGGTAGCTTTACCAGACATGAAAGAGAGACCTCAGCGAAGACCAAGGCTATGTGCAGCGGGCCAAGCAGCGCCCAGAGGCTCCAACCCAGAGCGCAAGTGTCAGGCTTTTGTGTTGGTGTTGCTTATGGCGTGCTTGAATCAGGGGTTGAGGGTTCAGGGCTAGAGGTTGTGGTGTTCGCATGTCCTGCCGGTTGGAAGGCTTAAGCCCTAAACCCCCCAAACCCCCACTCCCCCTAGCCCCGAAGCGCTTAAACTTGAATCCGCTATAAACCTTCACCCAAAGCCCTAAGTCCTAAGCCCCAAGCTTTTCCTGGGTCCCTGCAGAGGGCAGTCGACCTCTGCGGACGATCGGTTTGGGATTGCTGCAGCAGAGACAGGAGGAGGTGTGGGGAGCCGAAAACGTGTTTGGCCTTAGGAATTGGGGCCGAAAATCTTTGGTTAAGAATCCAGGGTTTAGGGTTCATGTAGACCCCTTAATTAATAAACCCTCTCCCCTAATAGGGATTACAATAGCAAGGATCCTAACATTAATGCCCTTAAAAAGGAGTGGGTTTATTAATCACGGCTCTACATTAGGACGCGGAAGTTGTGCAGGAAGGTTTTTCCTTGTGTGGATCATCACATGTATGGGTTGGAACTCTGGGCTTGCTGGGTTGGGAATATGGGGTTTGGCGATCCAGAATAAAACGTGTAAGGTTGTGGGCTTAACCTTCAGAGTGAGGTGTTTGAGTTGAAGGTTTACTGCGTTTGGAGTTTATTGATCCCGCAATCCTGTTACATAATTTGAAGAGGACGCGAAAGAGAAAACGTCCCCTGGTCCTCACAAAGCGTGGCGCTTTTTTTAGGTGAACCTTCAACTCTTGACGAAATTATCTCTGAGCGCAGTGAGAGAAACATTTGCGATCGCAGTCCAGAGCCTCTAGCCTGAAAACCATCACCTTCATCTGCTGCCATACCCACAGGTGCCGTGCGAGCCCCATGATGAACAATTGGATGCTGTCATTTTTCCGGACTGTGAGGCATTTCCGCAGGACTCTCCGGGCTGCAGGGTGCTTTAGCTGCACGAATCTAGAGTTCCTTTGGTACCCGTTTTCCAGTTTTTGGACCCTTGTGGTCTCAGAAATTGTATATGCAGAATAAAGGACCGGGATAAGGGATGTTCTCTGGTGGGCCATCTGAAGTGTGTGGCATGACAAATCATTGTTCGTCTCTTGCGTTCTTTCCACTGTGGACCCCACCCCCCAGCCTTAAGCCCTGGGTCTTAGCACCCCAAGCCCTCTAGCCTATGTTCCCGAAAGCCCTTACGTCCTTGAAACATTATCCTACAAACCCTGAGCCCCATGCCTCTGAAACTTCAACCTTAAATCCCTAAGCCCTAAACCCTATACCCCTCAACCTTAAAACCTAAACCCAATACCCCTCAAGCTTCAACCCTAAACCCTGTACCCCTGAACCTTAAACCCTAAACCCTATGCCCCTCAAACTTCAACCTTAAACCCTAAGCACAAACCCCCCTCAACCTGAAACCCTAAACCCTATACCCCTCAGACTTCAACCTTAAGCCCTCAAGGATGCCGGAGCATGTCCCTGAGATCGGACAGTGGGGCTGCATCGAGGAAAAGCGCGTTGGGGTTTGGGTGGAAGGGTTCACTTGCAACAGCCTCAACGGAGTAACCTCGCTTGTCGCAATTGCAGCTTCTGGTATACATGAAAGTCCACATCCTTGCTCATAAAAACGCTCATCGCTTGCACTCGGAACGTGGTGTTTTTCAGCACAGCCTAGCTGCCAACTTCCCACCAACCTAACTCTATCAAGTGCCCAACAAACCCAGATCTACGCAAGTCTTGGGTTTAGGGCTAGGGAACTCGTGCAGTTTGTTTCCACGGAACTTCATCGGTGGAGCTGTAAATCTCGAAATCTCTCACAAGAGACCTCAACCACCCAAAGTGTAAACCTCAATCTCAGAGCTTAAATTCACCCAGTAAGCAGGAACCCTGAACACCTTCGAAGTTCTTCTTTAATTTGATCATCCAACTCCACACCACGCAACGTTGCTGTTTCACACAACCTATGTCGGACTCAGTCACAGCAAGGGTGTCTTTAAACCCTAAATCCTGAACCCTAAACCCTAAAGCCCTAAAGTAAACCCTGAACGCTGTCAGGCAGCTAGAGCCCGTGCCGGGCCCGCAGTGAGTCCTGCCACTGACTGAGTTTTGGACCATCTCATACAGGGCCACAAGGGTTCAGGGTTATGGTTGGGGCTTCAGGGAGATGTGGGCAATACTAGAGGATGACTATAATATATAGGCAATATAGGGCTTGTGTAGATAGTAGTCTTGAAAGCGAAGGTTTTTTTTAGGATCGCACGGTCTTTGAGATAAAGGCGGGGAGTAGGGGTGCTATCCCGAAGTCTCCTCAGAACCATGCAAGAAAGTTGCCGGAGATTTCAGGACCATTCGGCTTTTTGCAAGCACAACTTCGCTCCCCTTGTCATGGCAGTAAGTCAGTTCTAAATGAACTCGTCCTGGCAAAATCAGATTCGAACATACTCAGATTATTTTGGGGTGTTGTCAATTCCTTTGGGGTAGCCAAGGGTTGTGGGAACCCAAAGACAACCCATCATGTTGACAACCCATAATATGGTATTTAGGGTATCCAAGAAGGGACCATCATGCTGACAACCTACCACCCTGGGTCTTTGCAGCTCCTGGGCTTTGAGGCTCCCTGCGTGTAACCTCCTTCAGCGGGCTCTTCCGGGGACTAAAGGATCCCTGAAATTCATTTTAAGCCCTATTACGGTCCACTACCCCTGCTTAAGGTTCGCGACATCTATTCTTCGAAGATTCCCCTCCAAATGTTTTGTGCGTGGATGCTGAGGCTTAGCCATGCGCAAAAGCATGTGCACGCGCATATGCCTTACCTTACACGTACCTAAACAGCCACTCAAGTCTCCTAAACCGTAAACCTAAACGTAAAGTTCATTAGATGCCTGCATGCTCAGGACTGGCCGTTGCCACCAGTGACGAAGTCCGCCAGTAGCCATGGACCTAGCATGTGCTCTTGCAATGGTTGTCAGGTCCCTAGCAGGAAGGGCGGTCCCTGGGGTGCTTGCAATTGTGTTTGTGTCCTCAAAAGGAGCGGCGAATCCACGGAGGCAGTTTGCAAACCTAGGGAAAGAAATTTAGCAGTAGTAGGGGCTGTTCTCAGGTGATCCGTCAGTCCAAGCCGCCATCAGACGTTAAAGCTGCAATATCGGCTTTCCGCGCCCTATGTCAGAGTTAGGATTGTGGGTAACGGAAGCCTGGAACCGAATACCTGCAACCTCAACCCTTGTCCTGGACTAGATCTCGTACTCCTAATTTATGCATTTTTGGTGGATTGTCATTGACGTTGAGTCTGCGTTTGCATGACTATGTAACCTGGTGCCAGTAATGACCTTGCTAAGGCATGCTGGAGGTGTTTACATCTCTGGCTCCACAGGCGCTGGGTCAAGGGTCCATAGGATGTTGTTGCGCTGCAGGCTTGTAGGGTTTCATTGACGTATTGGCTTGCTATTAAGGAACTTGTACGAAAATAAGCATAGTACGGAAGCCTTCTCTCTCTGTCTCTCTCTCTCTCTCTCTTTCTCCGTCTCTCTCTTTCTCTTTACATACAAAACATATATTTATATATGTGAGCCCATAGTATGCTTACATGTTGAGGACATCTTCTCAGGGTGTGGGTGTCGGCGTTGAATCTTTGGCTGCACAATGGAATGCAGCCCGTCATGTCATGAAAGACTAGGTTGGAGTGTCCGGACCTTGAGCACGAAAGTCTAAACTGAAAAACCCTAAACCCTAAACCGCTAAACCCTAAACCAAAAACCCTCAGCCCTAAACCCCTAAACTCCTAAATGCTCTAGCCTGGAAGCACACATGCCCCCACATCACCTGTGTGGCAGAGCCTTTGTGGTAGGCCCGCTTCCCTCCCAGCAGCCCAGCCGGCAAGAGGCCACGGTCGGTTTTCAGAGGAATGTCAGGGTGTGGGATTGAGTTGTTCTAGAACAGGTACTGGGATTTGGGTTAAAAAGCAGGTTTAGGGATTTAGGATTGTGGGTCCAGGGTGAAAGGGGCCAAACTTTGTTTGATTTCCAGGCTGGATACTCGCAGTTGTAGCAGTTGTACGCCTCGGGGCTTTCAAGACCTTTCCAGCTTGTAATTTGGGGTCTGCCAAGGAGAATCCTTTCGGGGTACCTGGAGTGGAGTTTAGGGCAAGCTTTCCGTCTTTCCGGCTCTTGATGTCCTGAGACTTGAGGAAAGTTTGCTCCAAAAGCCAAGTGTCTTGCCAGAAATGCCACTGCTCTGCTCGTTTATTTTGCAAGTGCACTTTACATGTTTTCTCTGCCTGACTGCCTTACTGTCCTTCTTCGATCCTTCTGAGCCATTCACTGCAATCTGTGTGGATCGGACCGGTGAACTGCATGCCAAATGGGATTTCAGCCGGCAAGCACTGTGTGGCTTGCATTTCAGACGTACTCTCCGGCCCGGCTACTAAATCATACATCCCAAAGCCTTCAGTCTTGAAACCTGCTGTCCCAGGCTCGAATCATTGAATAGCAACGCCCATAGATCCCAGACCTGTAGCATTGACACCGTCTATGTACAGCACACCTTGAAGCCTCAACCCTACCCCCCCCACTAAAACTGAAGCCTAAACTCCGATGGGCCCAAACGACAGTCGCAAGTCAGTGTCAATGAACAGCATTGTCACCGTCCATGTACCTTGAAGCCTCTACTCTACATCCTACCACACCACCAAAAAAGAAGGCTAAACAAAATGGGCCCGAACCACAATCGCAAAAGGGCACCGCCCTTGATGAAGCGGGGTGCAGCTGCGGAGGCCTGCCTTTGCAGAGATGCGGCTTATGGGGTTGCTCATAGTCAGGAATCGGGTTTCAGGCTTTGTTTGATAACGGGTTTGGGTTTTCAGGGGTTGCGGCTTATGAGTTCAGGGTTGAGGACGTTTCACATGGATTGAAGATTAGTTGTTTGGGGGAATTTCAGGCTTACAGTGTGGGGCCTGAAGGTCCAAGTGTGAGCGGCCCAAAGTATGGACCTGGTGACAAGGCCTTCGTCTGCTTCATAGCAAGTGCTCCGTAAAGGGCCCCAAGCCTATACAAAGGGTTTAGGGTTTAGGGTAAACCCCCAGCCTAAGCCCTAAGCCGTCAATCCTAAACCCCCAATCTCTAAATCCTGATTCCCCAGGGTGACCAGCGCCCATTCTCGCCCGAGACCGCCGTGCCTGCGTCAGCCTAAGCATGTTGAGGACCCTGTGCCTGTGGAAGGACAACGCCAGCACCACCAGCATCAGAACAAAAACAAGAGCCTTCAGTGTTTGACAGCAAAGCCAGGTATACTCAGGATTTGGGGTAGGGTTTAGGGTTTAGTCCCCTGTACAATCCCTTATAAAACCTCCCTTTCAGGAGTTTAGATCATGGCTTTCGATACATGGTAGTTAGTACAAACATTGATTGCGAGCACGGCATGCGGCCTTCGGCCCCGAGTTTCCCCCGTCAGTTTTGCTTTGCCAGGGGTCTACGAGAATGTTCAGGATTCAGGCCATCATACTTCTCTCACTAGGCATGACTGTGCTGTAAGAACCAGAAGCCTTCCCAGGCTTTGAGGCCCGCGGGTAGCTATATATACCGAAAGCTGCAACTACCTTAAGCTAGGCCATAACTAGAAGCACTGTACTTCTAGACCAATTCGAAGTACCCATGGAAGCCCCTCTGAGCAGACTGTCCCCAACCGAGACCGTGAAGCGGGACTACACGTGGCTTCTCCGGGCAGCTTGGCTTTCAATCTTGCTGAACATGAAAGACCCTCAACCCTGAACTCTATTGGATTTAGGTTTTGGGTTCCGGATCGTACAGGGGGAAGTGGCTAGGTTTTCAATCCTATGCGCACATGCGCCGCACTGACAACTTTAGTATGCCCAACCTTAAACCCTGAACCTACTGGTGCTCAAGAGCGAATGGTGGAGTGTACGCTTACATGTCCGTAGCCTACTTAGATAAGGAGAAGCTTCCTCGTTTCGTGCTGTCTAAGCGAGGGTGATATGCAGTTTTGGTTGAAGCCTTTTTCTCACCGTAAGGTTAAGTCCCTTCATCTGTTTGTAGTTCCAAGGATGCACCCTGTAGAGCATGGGTGACAACGCGTCCCGTATCATGCTCAAGTAGTAGTTTCCATTTTCTTTTCCATTATCCCTATATTGCCCCTAAATAACCCTACATAATCCTAATATTACCCCCATAGCTAAGGGATTGCCCAAGCAGGAGCCCAGACCGGGTTTTGCAGGCGTCCCTTGATGCTTCAGCAGGAACTGTATGGAATTTAGAATTTATGTTGAGGCCCAAAAAGCCTAAATCTCCATGCGCGAAAAAGTATGAACGCATGCACCCAAAGGCTTTCACCTTTCACCCCTAAAGATCGAGAGTGGGCCTAGATGGGAGTTTCCTAAAACTAGGGGTACCATTTAGGGGGGGTTCCCATTTGAAGGATTTTCCATTTGAAGGATTGTAGTAGGTTGAAATTACTTTCGGGTACCCCCTG